AATTAGAGTCAGTGAATTTTAACATTTCTGTGAAGTCTACAGCTAAACTGTGATTTTTGGATAAACATTAAAGATTACCTACACACTTGTAAGGAAACACCAAATTACTACTCTATTTTTTTCTTTTCGTCCAAATAGTATGGCATTGGTTAGAAAGAAATATTCTACCTGTCATCATTTCACCATGTCATTATGAACAGAATAGTCTTCCCTTTATAAAATGACTCCTTTTTGGTATACTGAAATGGCATCCATATTGGGCTCTCCCTAGAGATGGGATAAGTCTTATTTTCAATAAAGTATTGCAGACAACTTTTATTTGCTTCTCCTAAGTAGCCAATAAATACAACTGTCCTGGAAGACCCAGGAGGAAGGTCATAGTACAGTCTGAGGCTTTGCATCAGAATATGCTTGGAGGTCAACACCTGGTGCATTCATGATGGAGGTTACTTCAGTTACTAAACATGCTCATGCATGTACCCATGTGCATGCATGCATGCACACTCACACACACACACACACACACACACACACGACAGAGGAACCATAGACATCAAAGGGGAGAATGTGGAGAATATTTGAAAAAAAATAAACTTGAAAGTTCGAGAAGTATGTATTTTGATTCAATTACTATCCAGAGAAGTGGGGAGATGGGGAGGTATACAAGCTGGAATTGGGTTTTTTGTTTTTTTTTTAATTTTTTTTTTTATCCTCACCCGAGGATATTTTTCCATTTTTTGTACAGATAGAGAGGGAGGGAGAGAGAGGAAGAGAGAGAGAGAGAGAAACTTCGACGTGAAGGGACACATCGAGTGGCTGCCACCCGCACGACCAACCAGGGCCGGGATCAAACTGCAACCGAAGTACGTGCCCTTAGCGGGAACCAAACCCGGGTCTCTCCGGACCACAGGCCGATGCTCTAACCGCTGAGCCAAACTGGCCAGGGCTGGAATTGGGTTTAAAGACACATGCCTTTTTACTCAAATAAATAAAGAGGTATGTTAAAAGCAAGGAGAAATCTTCTGAGGTGAGGAAGTTTTTGAGAAGAAGAAATAAACATGGGTGCTATCATGCCTTGGCAGGTCACAATCATCCCTGAAACTGAGCGTTTGCAGACATTTTGATAATGCAGAAGTCCACATTTTTTTCCCATTCCATTTTTAGGTTACTAGAAAGTCACTGTTGAAACATTTCAGGCTCACGTTTACAAAGGCACAGTAGGTTCTAAAACTCAGAGTAATCATTATCGGTAGGGAGGTGGCCTCTAGGAGCATTTTTTTTTCTTTCTTTCTTAGCATATAATTGTTCCCTAATTACCTTGGAGGGCAAGTTGATAAACTGAGGTGTTTGTTGTTTACCAACTTCCCAGCATGTTGAAGGCCTTGTAGCTGAGAAAGACTAAGGTACTCACATTAGTCTCTGTGTTGCTTCTACCTCAGAGAGTATGAAAAAATAGAGAAATTTCAATTTCATGTAATATTTCTCAATTTAATCTGAATTAGATTAACCTGAACATCATAAATTAATTTCTGAAGTGTCTAAGTACCAATTTTATAATTCAAAAGAAGAAGCATGTATTTTACCTATTTCAGAAACAGATCTAATTCTTACCATATTTTGCATAGAAGTAAATTGAAGGCACACATTAAACAAGAGAAAAAAAGAAGTGAAGGTTTCTTTTTAGATATTAGAAAATATAATAATTTTTTCTATGGTTCTCCTGAACACTGGAAAAGTATAGTATATTTTTAGATTTTATAATGTTTGCTACATAATAGCATTTAGTAGATTTTGTTGAAGAAATGAATTAATGATTATAATTCTGAAACAATTTGAGATTTTTTAATCATTAAGAGCCCACTTGCAACATACTAGATTTGTTAAAAGGTACATGTTCAGTTGATTCACAGTCCACATAAAAATATTTTCAAGTTACTTTAAAGTACATCACAGCTGGGTGTGGTAAGAGTAGCAATGGCCCAGGAGTTCAAAGACCTTATTTGGCTTTAGGCTGAACACCAACAGTAAATGACAGAATGGCTTGAGAAAGAGACTTAATTCTGCTCCATTTCAGCATCTACATGAATGAAATGATTGGTTTGGAGCAGTTACTTCTGATATTCCATGCAGCTTCAAAATTCTACAACTGATTAATTCAAATTAAGGAAAATTGGATCTAAAGTAATAAAAACTAATATAATGCCTACTATATGCCAAGTAATATAATAAATGCTTTACATCATATATAGTCATATAATAATAATAATAATAATAATAATAATAATACATATCCTATGCATGGAGTAACATTTCCTAAACTGTAAATTATAAGCAAATGATAGTTGCTATTAAAATGATAGTGGTTTTATCAAAATTCAGTAGAGTACAAATCATTAAAAAAACAGGTAAAAATATAATACATGGTATTTCATCTAAGCCACTAAATAAAAATTATATGGGCCAAATAATTGATCTAATCTTTGACTTGAGGGAATACACTAGCCATGACTCATGACTTCACATTAGTCTCACTGAAAAGAATTCAGCTCTCATAAACTTGAATGTTCTCACACCTATTAAATTATATAGGAGAAAATTTTATGAAACAAAGATATCCTGCCAGTATCACATATTAATATAATACTCATTATTATAAAAGTCTCAACTGTACAATTCATTTTAGAAAAATAAGCTAGGAACCACCCTGTGTTCACAGTAAACAGTAGAGCATCAAACATCAAAGGTGTATTTCAGGAATGCAGTGGGCACATGGTTGCTTGTAAGCTTATAACAGAAGGTAATACAGAGAAAGAAAGTTTGGGAAGCTACTAACAGGCTTCCGTTGCTAAACTGCATAATAGTCTAACTCTCAAGCTGAAGGGCTGGAAATGCATGGAAATTTGATGAGCACGGCAGTTTCGAAGTATGGTCATACCGTAGGGGCCCTTGGCTTATTACGTTGACTACTGCCGAGACTCCACACATTTTCTTTCCCTTCTGTAATTCCTCTACTCCTATTCATCCTTTATGGCCAAATTTGGGCACCACTTCCTCTGAAAAGCTTTTCCTAAGCTAGCATCACCTCTCTCAGATGTCCCCCACCCATAGAGGTGGATTAAGGTCCCTCTATGCTTCTATAAAACTTGTTATAAATCATTAATATATTTCAATTATTCAGGCTGCCAGGTTGTATTACATTAGTGGCCCATAGTCTTTCTCATTCAGTGAACTTTGAGTTCCTTGAGAACAGGAACTGTGTGTAATTCATTGTTAGGTCCCCAGAGGCTTGCACAGTGTTTGGCATGAATGATATACTTAAGAATTGTTTGTTAAATGAATGAATGGACAGGTGGATGACAGCAATACTGTTCTTACTATTAAAATGGTTTGTACCATTAGATCTCCTTCATTTACTGTAAGTGGTTAAAAATGTGATGAGAATTGACTGTGTTCCAACAGAGGCAGTGGGGTGAGGGATGTATTGCTTGAATATTTGTGGGGCATCTTCATAATTAACAATTTACTTTAAGTCATCCTTCCCCCCTCTTTGTCTGAGAATAGTAGAAAAGTTGGGGGAAAATGAAAAGTGATTTTTAAAAATTTATTTTACAGATATTTATTGAACATGTGCTATCCAAAAGGGTGTGTCCTAGGCAGACACAGATTCTATCCCCAAGAAGACTATACTTTAGATACGCAAAAACTTGTGTAAAGGGAGAAAGTAATATGTGATATTAAAGAGAACAATGTTTACTAAAATGAAAGAACAGGTAATAGGGTCATAGAAAGGTCTGAGATGTCAGAGAAAAAGTGGCTGGATTCAGGAAGCACCCACCAGAAAGGAGAACTAGGTTGGATCATCATGGCTTGAAATCTGCTCTCAGCTATAAAGGTCCTGCACCCATAGACGGTCAGGTCCATGGAAACAGGCACACACACACACACACACACACACACACACACACACACACACACACACACACACCCCAAGCTAAATGGAGCTGGAAAAACCAAAAGGTCAATGAGCAGGCCAACTGGAAAGTTAATTATGATTGAAACGTGGACTCAGAGTAAAGAGAGCTGGAGACGCTTTAGTCACACAGGGCAAATGGACAGCCTTCCTCTCCAGGCATCCAAGGCCAGATTCATACTTCCCTCTCTTGGACAGTACTGGGTAAATAGGGCATCTGGCAGATACAAGTATATGCCATAAATGATAACTATTATGGAATTTCAGAAGATTAAGAGATGATACTCAGCCCTGGCTGGTTTGGCTCAGTGGTTAGAGCATCGGCCTGTGGTCCAGAGAGACTCGGGTTCAGTTCCTGCTAAGGGCACGTACCTCAGTTACAGTTTGTTCCTGGCCCTGGTTGGGTCGTGCGGGTGGCAACTACTCGATGTGTCCCTTTCACATCGATGTTTCTCTCTCTCTCTCCCCCCTCCCACTAACTAAACAAAAAATGGAAAAGTGTCCTTGGATGAGGATTAAAAAGAAAAGAAAGGAGTATGCCAGATGCAGATGCCAGTGGAAGCGTCGGAATCTGCCTGGGAGGACTGAAACTAGAATAGTAGCAGTGTAGTCAGGGCAGAGAGACTGAGGGTACAAACCAGGAAGCACCATGTTTGTTTGTGTTTCTTATATGTACGCACACACTCCTATTCCAAAGCAAAATATAAACCTATAAGCTATATAACCAATATGTAATTTAAAACAAAACCTGTCCTAATTTATACGAAATTCTCCACTTATAAAGAAGATTGAAAAATCATTGCTCTATTTAGCCAATTTGATTGATTTTGGATTGTCCAAGTATCAAATTTAATAAAAGTGGGATTTTCAAAGTATCAACACAGTGGGTATCTGTAAGTAAGTGACAACTTAAGGAAAAAGAAAAAATATCCTATATAAGTAAATTTCTTATCTCCCAAAATGTCCAGGTGATTTTTCCAAACAGACATTCTTTTAAACACTTTCTAACATTAGCTAACCCAACTAACAGGAATGCTGCAAAAAACAGAAACAGGAACTTTGTGAGAAGTTTGATTACCTGTATGGCATCCTGGAGGAGAGGAAGAACGAGATGACCCAAGTCATCACCCGAACCCAAGGGGAGAAACTGGAACATGTCCGTGCTCTGATCAAAAAGTATTCTGATCACTTGGAGAATGTATCAAAGTTGGTTGAGTCAGGAATCCAGTTCATGGATGAGCCAGAAATGGCAGTGTTTCTGCAGGTAAGTCTCCTTTTGGCACCAGAAGAAACTAACCGAGCAAGTAGGTATTTGAGAAGTGGTTGTCATCACTTTCCATTATTTTATGTACATCTCATTCTGATTTATTGTACCAGCTAAAATATAAGTCCATTATGTGCTTATTCTCCATCTGTTTAAACAATTTCATGAGCATATACTTATTGGATCATGACAGTGCTTAAGTATAAGAGGGTTCTGGTATAAAAGAGCAGTTATTGATGGCATTTGAAACTAAGCTATGAGATTTTCAGAGTCAACAAAGGAAAGAATTAGGTCTCAACATGTCTTTGATGAAAAAAATTTAAGTAGGCTTGTCTTTTGTTTGCTTTCACAGAATGCCAAAACCCTGTTACAAAAGTAAGTAATTTTCATTTTATGGAAAAATGCATACTTTTCATTTTTACCCAAAGCTATCAAACTGTAAACAGTGACAGAACGTAGCAACTTGTCTTTGTTGCAGAATTTCTGAAGCATCGAAGGCATTTCAAATGGAGAAAATAGAGCATGGTTATGAGAACATGAACCACTTCACAGTCAACCTCAATAGAGAAGAAAAAATAATACGCGAAATTGATTTTTACAGAGGTTTGTTATTCTTGTGACCTTTTGGCCAAAATTACAAGTGTGGAAAAGCTGCAGAGAAGTCGGTGGGAGGAAAAGTGGACTCAGAATCACTTTCAGAATGGATGGCGACAATTTTACAAGGATTGGAATCTAATGTGAAGCTCTATTTCCTTACAAAGTCATACAGTTTGTTGACAGTGTTTATTTAGCTTTGCATATCACAGTGCCCATTATAATGCTGTTATTGCGCATTTAATTCTGGGTAGTCAAATACTTAATAATTGATGGTGATGATGAAATCTCAATTTCAACCCTACACAAGATGTTATCTACAATGATATAAAATGTCATCAGGTGCAAGGTTAAATATGAGATAAAAATAAAGCATAGAAGACATCTGGATAGATAGTATAGCACATCCACTTAATCAAACTTTAGAAGGCAGAATCATAGCAAGTCACAGAATAAGTCACAACCTGGAAATAAAACTTGGTCCATGTGACCAGATGTACTTCATGAGTTATAAACACATCCCTACCCTTTGGCCCAGAAATCCCATTCCTGGAAATTCATCCTGATGAAATCATTGAAAAAAGGAAAACAAGCACATCTTGGTGATAAGACATCTCAGCTAGACCACTGCTAATGCCATGAAGCTGTATTAGTGTCCACAGATGTAACTTTAGAAGTAAATATTCAGGGTGGATCTTTTGAAAAATTACTTAATATTACCTCTCCTTAACAGTTCCTGAGGGAATATTAAGATCAGCGGGTAAGGAAAAGAGTCATGGTATTAATTGTGGCAGAAGTTAGCATTCACTGAACAAAGAAAGTAAGAAATTACAACAAGACAAGGATTTTGTGTGTTTTCTCAGATAAGAAAGAGCTGCATTTCCATTTGATTTGATGCAGATAAGTAAGTGACAATCCTAGCCCTTCAAGAGCCTGCAGATGTGACAGAGTGTGATTACAATGTGAACAGGCTGTGGGTGGGGGTCAGGGGCATGTGCAGAGTGGTGGTGAGGACTGCACATCACACTGGGGAGGGGAACCAGGAAGATGGTGATGATTTGGCCACCTTTACATTTGGCCTGTCCACATTTAACTAGAAGCGCAAAGCTCCAACACGGCATACTTGGACCATAGGCAGTTGTCTGTTAAAGACAATTTCCCTAGCCCTGGCCATTAATTGTTTTCATGGCTACAGTGGTCATTGTAGTGATTTAAAAATGCATTACCTTACCAGAAGAGGAAGAGGAAGAAGAAGCAGAAGAAGGAGAGGGAGAAGGAGAAGAAGGAGGAGGGGGAGGAGGAGGAAGAGAAGAAGGAGAAGGACAAGGAGAAGTAGAAGAAGGAGTAAATTTGGAAGAGGTAGAAGGAGTAAATTTGGAAGAGATAGAAAATGTTCGAACAGAGCCATCAGAAGAAGATGAAAGTCTGCAGAAAGCCTTGGAGCCCTCTCAGCTGGTCTCAGAGCTCCAGGCTGCCCCAGTGACACTTCCTGCTTCCTCTCCAGAGCCACCTCCTGCCCTGCCACCTGCTACAGATGCCCCGGGCACCCAGGTAAGTTCTTGAGTTCTTTTCTACAGGACATGCAGGCTGCTTCCTTGCCCAACAGTCTAAACCATTTATTCTACCTTAAGGAAAAGGTAACTATATGCCAGACATATTTGTAGGTGGAAGACAAGGATTTCAGGACAGTCACAATGTCTGGGAGAAAATCCCTGTAGGTTGTTCAACAAATTCATTGTTGTTATAACTGGTTTAACATGATTTTCCACCAATAACACCTTAAAATTTGAGACAATCTTTGTCTGAAAATTGTATGTATGTACAATATTCACAGAGCGCCAATATCATGAAGATTAGGTCTGCTCGGAATACAGATTTAAGGTAGAAGGCGAGAGTATGTAATACAGGGTGAAAAACAAAAATGGTTATACTTTTGAAACTTTGCATTTTCTAAAGATAATAAAGGAAGTGAATAGAGAAGCCATGTTAGTTTGCGTCCCTCTTGTTTATCCTGAAATACAACTCTGCTTTTCGTTCAGCAGACAAACAAGTGAAGCCTCATTTTCTATGTATCTGTCATTTGATGAGATTATGTATTGACAGAATTGTTAAAAACATTTTCTAAGAAAATTAGCTCATACCACATGCTGTACCTGTTGCGTGACCTTGTATTTCTAAGATGTCACTGGTCAGTTTTCAAGTCTTTGTGCTGTCTGCATGACACCTTCAGCAGACAGGTCCCAACCTGTTGTTTGTGGACAACGCAGACTCATCATAAAGGAGCCCTGTTTTGGCACCTGCTTTCAAAGTGGATTGAAATTACCTATATAATCAAAACCTCAGAGCAAGAACTCAGGGATGGAAGTATATTCTATGCCCTGCCTCCATAGGAAACCAGGCTAAAATACTATTTATAGTTCCTAAAATCTTAAAAATCTGGATATACAATTGCACTGAAATTGAAAGGGGGATGGTAACTAAATGAGAGTAAGATCAATGTTTGGTTTGACAAAAAAGGTTTTGGGGGCCCACATAGGTAAAAAATTAATTTTGGTCAATAGTTTGACCTTTCGCCCATACCTGACATTTTGAAAGTAATTTTCATTTTAGGATTCTGTTGTCTGCCTGGCCAGGCTACCGTCTTGTGAAAGATAAGCCCAGAAAAGAAGAAGGGCACATGAAGAGGGCACTGTTAGTATTTCTTCCCTTAGCACTTGCGAGGGGGGATGGACTAAAACGTGCCCTGAAGCAGGCACTGCACAGAGCTGCACAGGTTGTCAAACCCGAAGGGAACTAAAATCGACTGCTTTTTCTTCTTCTCCTTCTTCTTTTTCTTTTTTTACTTTTAAATGTATCTGTCCTGATTAAGGGGGAGGTTGTACCCACTGGCTCTCAGCAGACCACAGAGTCTGAAACTCCAGTCCCTGCAGCAACGGACACTGCGGATCCCTTGCTTTACCCTGGTTGGTATAAAGGCCAAACCCGGAAAGCTACTACCAACCCACCTTCCACCCCAGTGAGCGAAGGTCTGGGGCACGTAGGGCCTCCAGATTCTGAGGATTCGAATGTGCAGAAGGCAGAAGGGGCAGAAGCCACAGCCAGTGAGAGGGCAGCAGTGAGTGGTAAGGCAACTAGTTCACCTGCAGCTACTTCTCAGGTTAGTGTCCATGCTCTTGTGCTTGAATGCTTCCCTGTGCCGCCCAGGGTCCTGCTAGAAAGAAGGGGTTCCAAAGGGGCAGACAGGAACTGTGGCCTTGGGAAAATCTCAGGAACAGCTCAGCCCCAATGCTGGCTCACTGTTTAAGCCTTATACTGACATGTTTTTTAAGCCTTACATAAAACTAAAAAGAAAAAACAATTTGACTTGACCCTGCGTGTGTGTGGTGATCTCACACCTGGCTTCCCAGGGGAGGGGCTCTAGAGAGCCTGGCCCTTAGGCACGCAGTTGAAAGCTGCTTTGCCTGCAGTGCCTGGCTGGTGTCCCTGTTCCCCTCTGCAAGGCCACTTGCCCTTGCTCAGCCTATTCTGTGTCCTCCTTGGGCTTCCAAAGACTAATAACCTGCTTTTGTGCCCTTTCCAGCAACCCCTAAGGAGCACGTTTGAATTGAGTTCTAAGTCTGCTCTGGAAAATAACCCGTGATTCGTGGATTCTGGGAGTGTGCTGGCTACGGCTAGACAAAGAGAGTCTTGGCTTGATTAAACCAGTGCTTCCGAAGCATGTGCTCCTGGGAGCAGAAAAGCACAGGTTTTCTCCCATCAGATCTTTAAAAAAGGGACACTTCCTTGATCCCCCCCCCCCCCTTCTTCTTATAATGAAAGTATGCCGTCCACGTCTTCTTCCTAACACTGGGTTAGATGTTTGCATGGCGCAGTGATTCCATAGAAGAAATCTACAAGTTCTTCTCAAGGAAGAATGTTCATGGTTACTCCATACCCGTGAGCATTCTCGAATGCTGTGTGGGTGTGAGTGTTGCCCAGACAAGGGGCTGCCAAACACTCTCTAGTTCTATACTCCTGGGTCATCAGGTGATTACAAACAATAAACAATATTTTTTTCAAAAATCAGAAAATTTCCTATTACCTTGACTGTATCTGCTCAAGTGAACCTTCATTTCATGAGATAAGAAAAACCACATGATTTTTGGCAAATTAAAAGTGACAGGCTCTTGTGCCATATATTTATTTTCACAGATGAAGATGACAAAAATAAATGTTTGGTTTGAGGAAACCTTTTGAGGTGGATTTTAGTTTTTTTGTTTTTTTTTAAAAAGGAGTAGATTGTGATTATTTCTACAAAGTTTATGGGAATTCTTACATCTTTAGTAGAAGCTGAAGTGAGGAGGAGCTGTTTTCTGAAGAGACCCTATGAGGAGCACAAAATAGGGCTCCGAACCAAAATGAAAAGTCCGTCTAAGTGATGCTGGGAAATTGTTTGTGATAATATCAGTGAAGCTTTCTTCTTGTTTCCTCACAGGAGTTAGCAATCTGCCTAGCAATTTGGGCTATTCTTACACTTCACTACATCTGGAGTCAGATTCAGTTCTGGTTTTTACTGTAATGGGTAGGAAACATTTTCTTTTCCCTTGACTAACATCTCATGTAGTTTCTTTTATCATGTTTCTCTTCTGTAGGCCCAGAGATGAATTTCTCCCCAACCTTGAGGCTCAGCCACCTAAAAAGAACCAAGTTCCTAGACAATACTGTGGCCTCAAGCTCCCACAATGCAGTCGCCTCAAGGCGTCTTCCCGAGGAGAATTGCTCCATTATCTAATCCTGCATGGAGGGAACCCTGACTCAGAAGTGACTCCGTGGGCAATTATTCAGTAATCCAGTAACAGTGGACCCTCCAAATGGCCATTAGGGGAGGCCACTTTCAAAAGGCCCCCATGATGCTGTGGGAATTCACTGCTCTTAAAAAAAAGGGAGGAACAGCAAAGAACTATAGGGTTTCCATAGATTAAGCAGCAGCATTTCATCTGCTTACACCAAAGGGACCCAGGAAGTGGCCAGATGACTCCTGTTGGAGACACACAGGCAATTCTTGGTCTCGTGAGCAGGTGGAGTAGGTGACCTTTCGGTGGTCTTTGAACCCTCAGACTCTACAATGTCTTTCCTGGGAGGGAGGACCCCTGAGAGAAAGGTGCCCTGGGTACAGTAACATCGGGGATTGCAGCCAGGTGACAAGTGAATGAGTCAAGAGCAAGAGATCAAGGTTCATTTACCAGCCATAAAGAATTAGAACCAGAGAAAATTCATAAAGCCAACAACAGCGTTTTATTTTTGAGATACCTTTCCCATAGTCAAGGCTTTTCTTGATTACTGTTAGGAGGTTTGCTCAGGGACTGACATCTTACTTCTTTAATAACCTTTTGAATGTTATCAGTTTAATTAATAATATTTAAAAATCCAAACCCCATGCACTTTCAGTATATGACCCTGCTGGACCCAAGACCCAGCTCCCTGTGCCTGTAGCTCAGGAGCAATTCAGGGTGACTGGTGCAGAAAGGCCTCAGCTAATTCTGGCTCATTGGCTTTTCCCTGGGTTGACATTGAGTCTTCTAGAAGCTCCCATCATACAGTTCCTTTTTGCCTTATTAGCTGTCTGCTCAGCAAAGGTCGTGGGATCTTCATGGATCCCTGTCATGTTTTTAACTGTGTGTAAGTGGGACCTGCCCCCAATGTCTAATAGCCAGAAACCTGTGCCCCTAGAATGTTTTGAGTGTCCTTATAGTTAGCTCAGGTGCTTAACTCCTCCTCCTGTTGAAGAGGAGTGGGAGGAAGTATTGGCTATGGACTCAGTGAGGCAAATGGGGAGAGAGAAAACTCCATGTATTACTGGAATAATCTAATGTGGATCTGAATAATTGTCTGAAGAGTCCAGCTTACATTCTGAGAAGTCAGGTTTTGGGCTTGGTTGCCATATATCCTTGTAATACTTCTCTGAGGCTGCACGGGGAGAGTCATGCTTCTTGTCTTCCATCCACTGAGCCTGTGTCATGCACACTGACATTCATGTGCCTGTCTGGTGAGATGAGGGTGAGGTAGGTGGGGATGAGCTGGGGTCAGGTGAATTGACATCCACTTTTGCAAAGAACTGTGCTTGTGTAGTTCTTGGTGTGTGAGAAAGGGCCTTTCATGTAGAGAAGGAAATCTGTTTATGATAGAGTGCCACTCTTTGATCCATGAAAGAGGATATGGACAGATGAATAGAGACCTCACCATAGTATCAGATTTCTGGTTTCTGAACTTTTTGCAGGACTGATTCACCTTCATCAGCTCAGAAACCAACTCACTAGATTAGTATTTGTCCAATGCAAGGTTAGTTGTTGGAATTTCATATTTCATCATTAGTCTTCCCCTGAACATTTAGAATATAATACAAAGTTCTTAATTCTCTGATGGTCTGACCTCTCTGGCCTCTCTTTACTGGTCCCATGCCAGGGAATAAGGCTGCCTTAGAAACTCACTTGCTCACCTGTAAACTCACCTCAGACATCAACAGAACTGCAAATCTCTTAAGACCATGTTCAATTTCCAGATGCTCTTCTCATTGCCATTCACCTGCCCTTGCTTTTGCTGCCTGTGATTTCTTGCAGTCTCCAATTTATCATATACCTTCTCTCTTTACCTAATCACATAGGCACATTATATATTAAAAGGCTGGTTAGGCCAAAAAAATAGACATCAACTCTCTCCACCAGTGGTGAACGGTAACTCTGCTTTTTGAAATATCAGAAGAGCATTGTTGCCTTCCCCACCCTCATTCTCGAAGGAAAAACAGTTTCTCAGCAAGGTTTGAATGCAGCACTATATCATATTGGATCTCATAGAAGGCCCTGGTTCCTATTCATCCTTCAGCAGGATGCACTTTGAACCTGGCCACCCCCCATTCTTCCCAGAAAACTGCTATACATGAACTGGTGTTTAGATACAAAATTGCCCTCTCAGTTCCCACCATTCTAGGCCATATCTGCTATATGCTCAGTCAACGCAAAGGGAATTTGGTGGAAATGACATTTGATCCATGTCATGTGTTGATTTTTTAATTTATTTTGAAAAAATTACACCAGACCCTAGTTAACCTCAGAAGACAGGGCAATAATAAAGTAGGGAGAAGGACTCTGTGAAAGTGGTCTTTGTGAGCCTCATCTCCTGGGGATGTCTGGTCCAACCTGCTTCTACCTGCTGTTCTTTCTCTTCCTAAACTACTTACATGCAACTTACACCTGGATGTTAACACAGGGACAGTCTCCACCCCCATCCCCCAACCTGGGCATTTTATTAGGAATATGAGTAGCAATTAGATTTTTCCAGAAATAGAAATGGTAATGTAAGCCCCTCCCTGTTCCCCTTTCTCCCCTCCCTGTGAGGTTTAGTGGACTTTTGTGTAAGAATTTGTCCAAACCATTTAATGGGAGCTGTTCAGGGAACAGGGATTTCCAAAGAAATGTCTCCCTATATGGTGGATTAACTTGGCAGCTGCTCTGAGTGACACTTGAGCTGGACCATGGCAGTTGCCTCAAGGTCAGAAGGCCATCCTATCTCACTCTCTGCACATGTGCGCGCATGCGCGCACACACACACACACAAAGGGCCAACTGCTTCGGAGATAGGGACTTTGACATTAAAATTTCTGCAATGTCTGCCTCTATAAAAAACCACAGCTCATGTATTTGAAGTTGTAGTTGTGCAACACCCTAAGAGCTATACAATATTATTGTTTTTGAGAACAGAATATTGACTTATCACATTCTATTCTTCAAATTTGAGAACAGACAAAGAAGTTGGGCAGAAATTCTGCTAAGGCTTGGGGCACTGGAAAGTTCAATAAAATTAGGAGAAAGGATTTAGGTCCCAGTCTTTCTGCTTCTACACCTGACTCTGGGCATTTAATTTATTTGAGCCATAGTTTTCTCACCAGGAAAATGGGATAGCTACTCAGTGAGAAGGTTCATCTATTTACACAGTGTTTGAGAGTGAAAAATCTAGCTATATAAATTGTATAAATTGTTTCAGGATGCTTTCCATGGGAGGGTATGGACTTAGGACTGATACAAATCACTCTGAGTGACAATAACAATAATAGATTCTCAATGAAATGAATAGCCCATTGCATTTTCCAAAATATATTTCTTGCCTCGAAGCTCTTATATAAAA